AGGTGCTTGATACTCCATGGTCTTAGTGTGGCCTCAAGGCCCCCAGTTAGCGGCCGAGCACCTAACTGTTGCATCACTAGGGCTCCTTAAGTCACAGCTAGTGAGAGGCAAACCAATGATTCAAATCAATGTCTGTCTAACTCCAGAGTCAAGGTTCTGATTAGCCCTTGGGGGCAGCTTCCCACTCTGTTGATAACAAGTACGGCTGCTGTTTACGGAGCATTCATTATGGGCCAGGCATGTCCAAAGTGCTTTACCTGCATTGCCCAACGGCCATCTGAGGTCCATGCTTTTAAAGGTAATTTTCCAGAAGAGGAAACAGAAACAAAGGCACAGAGAGGTTGAGTAACTTGTCCGACATTACACAGCAAGTAAGTAGAAGAGCTGGGACCAGAACTCGGTTGGGCACCCTGGCTCCAGCATCCATGACTTAACAGCTTTGTGGATTGGACTTCATTAGAACCAACTTTCCCAGAGCCTTTCCCATCTGTCTCCTGACACTGCTCCCAACTAGGGGAGCAAAAGATCCACTTCCTTGAGTTTTCCTAGTTTCTCCTCAAGGGAACATTGCCTAGTACCTGGCTTGCTAGTGGGAAAGCTGAGAAGCGCACTTTTGGAGCCTGGGATGCTCATGTCATTCTCATGTCCTTCCTGGCTCTGGCTCCCAGTGCCCCGTCTGTGGGATGGGCCTGGGAGACTCCTGAGTGTCTCTTCCTGAGCTCACAGGGCTGGTGCCCGTCTATGCATCCCACACTAAATGTCTCTGTGTCCAGGGCCCAGTCAGAGCTGGGCCATAGATGTCCAAGCCTCAGCCCTCAGAGAGCCCACAGTTTGAGGGACGACAGACAAGCAAATAGATATGCTCCTCATGTCAGTTGGGGTCTCCTAGCCCCAATCTCATACTCCCTTTTCCTACTTCAAATCTACCCGCTGATCTTCCCTCATCTCTTCTTTGCCTGCCTCTCTCAGGAACAAAAATAGTCTTTTTGAAAATTCCTCTCATTCCCTCTGCGCCTACTGACACCTTCAGTGTCAATTTATCAAGTATTTTCCCAGGATTCCTGAAGAGGAATTCTGTACTTGCTGTCAAGATCACAACATTTTCACACCACTCACGACTTCCACAGATAGTCTCCTGTGTGCCAGTTGCTGGCAGAGAACTACATGCAGGGAGCCCCAGGGACTTGAGGGAGGGGAGCCAAGCTCTAGGACAGCCAGGATAGGCTTTCCTGAGGAGGTGAGCCTTGTCCTGAAGGACAGGGAGGACTTTGGCAGGTCAAGAAGGGTGGTTGGGGGGACAGTGTGAGGAGGGTGTTCCAGTCAATGAAAGCAGCTCGTTGTGTGTGGGGTGCCAAGGAAGGAAAGTGCCTGTACCTGTGAAGAGGACAAAGACCAGAACACAGCATTTAAGCACTTGGCTGCCAATAGAAAGATTGGTGGTTCAAACCCATCCAGGGGACCCTTGGGAGAAAGGCCTGGCAATCTGCTCAAGCAGAGATTGTTGTTGTTAGGTCCTGTCCAGTTGGTTCTGACTCATAGTGACCCTATGCAGAACAAAACAAAATACTGCCTGGTCCTGTGCCATCCTTACAATCATTGCTATTTTTGAGCCCATTGCTGCAGCCACTGTGTCAGTCCATCTCGTTGAGGATCTTTCTCTTTTTCACTGACCCTCTACTTCACCGAGCTTGATGTCCTTCTCCAGGGACTGGTCCCTCCTGATAACATGTCCAAAGTACGTGAGACGAAGTCTTGCCATCCTCACTTCTAAGGAGCATTCTGGCTGTCCTTCTTCCAAGACAGATTTGTTTGTTCTTCTGGCAGTTCATAGTATATTCAATATTCTTCTCCAGCACCACAGTTCAAATGCATCAATTCTTCTTTAGTCCTCCTTATTCATTGTCCAGCTTTCAAATGCATATGAGGCGATTGAAAATATCATGGCTTGGGTCAGGTGCACCTTAGCCCTCAAAGTGACATCTTTGTTTTTTTTAACAGTTTGAAGAGGTCTTTTGCAGTAGATTTGCCCAATACAATATGTCATTTGATTTCTTGACTGCTGCTTCTATGGAGGTTGATTGCAGATCCAAGTAAAATGAAACTTCAGTCATTTCTCTGTTTATCATGATGTTGCTTATTGGTCCAGTTGTGAGGATTTTTGTTTTCTTTATGTTGAGGCGTAATCCATACTGAAGGCTATAGTCTTTGATCTTCATCAGTAAGTGCTTCAAGTCCTCTTCGCTTTCAGCAAGCAAGGTTGTGTCATCTGCATAATGTAGGTTGTTAATGAGTTTTCCTCCAATCCTGATGCCATGTTCTTCGAGTAGAGATTACAGCCTAGAAAACCCTATGGGGCAATTCTACTCTGGGGTCACTATGAGTTTGGAATCGACTCAGCTGCACCTAAAACAACATGCATCAGTGACATAAGCCAGCTTTAATGTTACTGATCTGATTGATCGGTTCTGAACGCCACTTAAAAAGTTTGCTTAATTGGCTTTCTGGTGTCAATTTCTGTTGGAAATTCGGTCACATCTTACTATTTGCAGCTCATATTAGGAAAAAGGTAAACTTACATGTGTTTAATAAAAACTACATCTCCCTCACGCTCGACTTCCAGTTTATTGTTTAAGATTCCACCCTCAGTTTGCTGTCTTTGATCATTTCACGGGACACTTTGGTGAGATGAAGAGAAAAGACTGCCACAGAGTGCTCAAGAGCCTCTCCCCAAATTCTGTCCAGTTGCCACCAAGCCAGCTGAGAACCCAGGCTTTTTAACTCGGCCCCAGCCTGCATTTCCACATATGCTGCCACAGCTAGGAAGACACAGAAGATTAACCACGCAAGGATCAAGGAGGGGCCTGCGAGTCTCACTGGCCTGCTGCTCAGATCATCCGGTGGCTAGTTGCAAACGGAGGAGTCCTGGGGGCACAATGGTTAAGTGCTTAGCTGCTGACCCACCCAGTGGCTCGGGAGAAAAGACCCGGCAGTCTGCTTTTGTACAGATTACAGCCTAGGAAACACAGCTTGACGGCACACAACTACAACAGCTGCAAACGGGGTTACGTGCTGAACGCTGCCCGCGTGTCCTGGGCGTCGGCATAGTCCTGCATCTGAGGCTGGGGGCTCCAGCTGAGAGCCTGGGGAGCAGAGAGATGTCTCAGGGAGCACAGAGAGTGATCCCAGGGAGCTGAGAGAGATCCTGGGAGTAAGGTGCCATCCAGAGAACGAGGTGAGATCCTAAGGACCAGGGAAAAATCCCCGGGAGCGGGGAGGGATCCCGGTGACCTGCCTGACCCCTGCTCCCTGGTGGGAGCAGTCTGATGGCTAAGGATGCCACATCTCAATATACTGAAATTATCAAAATTTCATGGTAATTTATTCCTAATATATTCTAATATATTCCTCTTATGCATACCTTTTTGGTAGCAACATTTCTTAGGTGTGTTAAAGAAGTTGAATGCTGTGTTTGGGGAATTTATCCTTTTTACAGAATTTGTCTTTTTAGGGTAGCTAGTGAACATAAACTTCTTAGTGGTACAACAAAAACTTTTGTTCTAAATAAATACAAACTTTAGTTTATCTAATTTCGCTTGAATATTATTGAGTCATTTTCTATTGTGCCTCCATTTTCGTATTTTAAGAACGCTACACTATTTTTCAGAATGATCAGTTTGAAGAATCCAACAAATATACCAATTAACCAAAAAAAAGACTTACATTTTATAGATTTACAGCAATTCACGTTATATGGGATGGTTTGAACATTTTCAAGATGCAGTTTAACTAGATCTGCTTTTATTATCTTTATAAACAATTTGAAGGAGGCCTGGTGTCACAGTAGTTAAGTGCTCGGTTGGAACCCACCAGCTGTTCAGCAGGAGAAAAGACCCGGCAGTCTGCTCCTGTGGGGCAGTTCCAGTCTGTCATCCAGGGTGGCTGTGAGTCAAAATCAACTTGACGGCACAGAACAACAACATTAGCAATCTGAGCAGTCACGTGACATCACCTGGGCTCATACCTGGAATAGTGATCTGAAAGAGGGAGACTGAGGGGGAGAGAGAGGAGGAGACTGAGGACATGGGGGTTGGGGTTTGGGGTCCCTGGAACCTGGTTCTTCTAACACTTGAGACTCCACTCCTCCCCCCAAGCCACATTGTTACATGATACAGGTTTGGGCAAACCAGTAAACTTGGTCAATTGTGTGGATGGGTCATTTAGAAATTTGGTTATTGGCTCTGGGCAATTTTGTGTCCAGTTTTCTTGGAGAGTCCTTGGTGCTCCTTGTGCTAGGTGCTGTCTGAGCTGGGCCTGATTCTGTCCTAGGTTCCTTCTGGAGTTTGGGAGCCTCAGCCTCTGCGACGTCCTGACCCACATACCGCCACCTCCCCGGCCCATGCCCTGCTCAGGCTTGATGGGCTCGGAACCAGCCCCCAGTTTCCTGCTCTGGATCTCCATCAAGTCTCTTGGGGACCACTGTCCTCTCCTCTCTATCACTGCTTCCAGCATCACCCCTCCTTTCAGCCCTCCTGTCTCCTCAACAGCCCCTGCTGGCCAACATACCTTTGCTCAGGCTGTCTCTTGGCCCTGGTGCCCCCCTCCCTCTCAGGCCCGTTCTTCTCCCACACTTCTTCCCTGATGCTGTAGCCCTTGCTGCCCTCCTCTATGACTTCTAGTGAGCCAAGGGGCAGCACTGGTCACACCTGAACTAGAGTGGTACTGCCACCACAGCTAATCTATCACCTACACCGTATCTGTATAGCCAACTGTGTGAGGTTTTAATTCCAGGTCCATCCATGACCTGTGTGATGGGACCTGGCCCTCAGTGTCCTATCCTAGTAGTGACAAGGAGGATGGATGAAGGGTGGGGTTCTGAGACGTAAGGGGAGTTTGGGACTGGTCTGGGGTGGAGGCTGAGTGCAGGGAGAGGCATCACCCCAGTCCTGGACTCCTCTGGCGGTTCTGCAACAGGAGAGGGTGACGGGAGGGAGGACACTGAGTAGGTTCTGAGCTGAGATTTTATTGGGATGAGCCATGGCAGTTAACAGTGGACAGTTCAGGAAGGAACCAAGATGGGGTACTGCAAGCAGGTGGTCAGTAGAGGTGGTGCCAGGCACTCAGCCATCTCAGAATCTCCTGGACACCTGAATTCCAACACCTTTCTTTGGAATCAGCTTTTTGATAACCTTCTTCACCTTCTTGAAGAATTTTTTTAGGCCTCTGCGAGCTCTCGCCACCTAGGTAAGAGTGGGGGGAGATTAGTAGAGAAGGTTGGCATGAGCCAGGGTAGGGTCTGCAGGCTAGGAGGGTAGGATGGTCCTCAAGTACCCATACTTGGAAGGGACAAGTGTGGAGGGCCCAGAGAGAACTGGCAGTGTGGAGAGGTCCCCGACTGTGTTTGGTTTGCTGTGTGATCCTGCTCATATCACTCAACCTCCCTGAGCCTTGGTTTCATCTCCAAGCTGGTTTCTCTGCCAGCTCTGATAATCCATGATTCTATTGTTAAACTTCATCGTGCATCAGAATCACCTGCAGGGATCATTAAAACACAGATTCCTGGGGCCCACCCCTAGAGTTTCTGATTCAGTAGGTCTGGGTGAAGCCTGAGAATTTCCATTTCTAACAAGTTCCCAGGAGGTGCTGATGCTATAGGTCTAAGGGGTCCACACTTCTCCTCAGCTGGGATTTAGAAAATAATATTGGAATCATTGTTCTCTGTCCTTGGGCATAGAGAATGTGACTCAGCTAGAGCTGGGCTCACAAGGACTCACAAGGACACATCAACTGGGCCCTAAGTATAAAGACAATAGTGAGGATAATCTTGGAAAATACCTTTCAGGGAAACTTTCATGTAAACCATTCAAACAGAGCACAAAAGACTTTCCACTTTTATCTTTTTCAATTAGCATTTAGTGAATAGAAAATTTTTTGGACCAATGAAGACCCTCCTGACTGTCCTTACTGAAACCTGTACCAATGATTGTTAAGAAAGACAATTCAAAATGTAGGATCACAGTTTCTAGCCAATCTGTGAAAAGGTGAAGCTTTCAGTGATTTTGCCCATTTGTAATGTTAACATATACCAATGACTCTGTAATGATCTTTGGACTCAGGCAGACTTGGCTCTGGCAGCCTGCTTGTCCGTTTCCTACTTTTGCCTTTTTGAATATATGCCGAATACAACTTCTTTTTGCTTTACTCAACTTTGTGATGTTTTTACCCTACAACAGCTGTAAAAGTAGCGTATGTGTGTGCATGCATGTGTATGAGTGTGCCCACGTGTGAGTGCATGTGTGTGTGCATGTATGCATACATGCGTGTGTGTGTATGAGTGTGTGTGTGCAGGCTGTATTTTGTAGAGAACCTCTAGGGTAACGTCCAGCTTTGATAGCCCATGGGAATGTCTCTCTCTTTCCCTGGGGTTTGAGGGTAGGGGCAGTCAGGGCCTGGGAATTCTCAAGCACCCCCTTCCCATAAGACCCCTCTCCTACCCTCAACATTCTTTCCTCTACCTCAAGAACCCTCAGCGGCAAAGCCACAACCCTGTACCCATCTGTTCTTCATATCCAACTCAAGTTTTACCTGCCTTATAAATCTTCCCTGGAGTTCCTGGTTAATACAAACAGTTAACAGGTTCAGCTGCTAACCTAAAGGTTAAAAGTTCCAGTCCACCCAGACGTGCTTCAGAAGAAAGTCCTGGTGATCTACTTCCAAAAACCAGCCACTGAACAAACTATGGGGCACAGTCATACTCTGACACACATGGGGCTGACATGAGTTGGGTTGACTCAATGGCAACTGTTTGTTTTATAAGCCCTTCCCAGGTCTCCTGGCTCTGCCTCTCTCTCAACGTCTTCTGCAAATCACAGCTCCACCTACTGACAGTACAATCCAATGGGCACTTAATTCATAGAAGGCCCTCTGCAGCTTCCAGTCCAGGGTTTCTCAATCCTGACCCTCCTACAGATCAATCAAACCAGACGCTGGGGATGTGGCCTGAACTCAGTAGCTTACAAAATCTCCCAGGTGACTGCCATGTGCAGATAAGGATGGGAACCCCCTGGCCTGTGGAGACTGAGATTCAGGGCAGTGAAGTGGCTTGCCCAGGTCACTAAGTAGAGCAGTGGCTCAGCTAGGAGTCATCTTTTCTGGGTCAGTGTTGTCAGACTCTTAGCAGACTCTCAGGGCTGGGAAGAGTGTAAAGCCACCTAAGAGGTCTGTCCAGCAAGTAACAGTCCAGCCCTCCAGCACTTACCCCTTTTTCTGAAACCTCCCAGCCTGAAGTTCGGGCTCCTGAACCCTCTGCCCCTCTAGCCCTCCCCTCTTTCTTCAAGGTCCCTGGGAGTTTTCTCACCCCTGTAGGCTTTTGGGGTTCACAGGTGAGCTCCACACTGATATCCTCCTCACCAGTCTTGAAGAGCACCGAGCAGTTCTTCACTTGCTGTGGAGGAGAGGAACGAAATCAGCCCATGGTCACCTCCTAGAGGGCACCAGTGCAGCATAGAAATCAGGGCACACTGGGCTCCGGGTGCGGAGATAGCCGAAGAACAGAGCCAGGAACTCACTCGATAGCCTTGGGATGGGGTATAGGGAGCTGGGGTCTGAGGACCTTACCCCATCGTCTTTGAAAGGACACTTCTCAGGAGTAAGCTTCTCCACAATCTTGCAGTTCGTCTCTTTGATGATAAAGGACAGCGACTGTGGTTTCAACAGTGTTGGGTCCTATCAGCAAGGAGACAATAAGAATCTCAGTCCTCACAGTTAGCATGTCCGTTTATGAAAAGACCCAGAGAGCATCCAGCCTGTCCCTCAACAGATGGGGGCATCAGGGCCCAGAAAGACCCCTGCCACCATTAACCAGGTCCAAACTGAGGTCCAGAGAAGGGGAGTGAATTAGCTAAGATCATGCAGCCAAGAGTGGCAAAGCAGGGACTTGAACCCAGGTCCATATGACCCACATATCTGGCACTATTTCTACCATGCCATGCCACCTATCATAGCAGCTGGAAAAAGCGCAGAGCGCTGCTTAAGGGGACGGCTGCCGTTATCTCACAGATGGGGAAAATGAGGCCCAGGAAGGTGAGGAGGTCCTTCCTATAAAGCCTCCCAGCCCATCAGGACAGCAGGGCCCTTAGCCCTTATCCCTCCAAAATGTTCTGGCTGGAGTGGGCTGTGCCCTGGGCCCTCCCTGCTCCTTCTTACCCAATCTGGCTGTTGCTGAGCCTCCAGGACACGGAAGGCATACTCCTCGCCTGAATGCTCGTTGTAGGTGTTGATGGACAATTTCAGCACCTCAGCTTGGCTTAGGCTGAAGTCCTCGGTCAAGGAGGTAGGCTCTGACCAAGTCAGACCCAGGAGCAGCAGGAGCAACAGCACGGGCACTCTGATACCTTCCATCTTATCTGGTTGCAGTCTGCAGGGTGCAGCGTCTGCTGGGTTTTATGCCTGCCTGGGATAGGGTGGGGCTACCCTTCTGCAAGCTGACTTCTGGGAATTCCTAGTAGGTCAGAAATGATTTCAGTGGCTACTTAACCTCTTGGCTTCTTGCTTCACAGAAAGTAATATTAGGGAAAGAGGAAACTGACCCTTAGCAGAGGGGGCTGACACCAAACTCTGACCAAAATCCTTACCCCACCCACCCCCCATAGCAGCCTACGTCTTCCTTCCCAGTTTGCTGCAGAGGGCAAGAGTGCAGGGCTTGAATCTCCTATTATCCCCAGTAAGAAAGACTGCATGGTGGATGGGTGGGGATCATTGGGTCCAAGTCCTGGTTCTGTCATTTTCTGGGTGGGGGTCCTTGTTCGAGAGACTTAATCTCATCAACTATCCCACTCAGAGAGCTGGAGGGTGTTCCCTGCAGTGAGGGACACAACAGGCTGGGATGGAGTGCTTATGAGACAGGTAAAGTTAACTGTGCTGGCGGAATAAAAGAGCTATCAAAGGATTACCACCTAGAAGTTGTGTAACCAGGAACCATACCCTGTCAACATAAAATAAGATTAGAACACCTTGTGAATTACTACTTCCTCCTTAGTGTTTTTCTAGTCACTTCCCTCTTCTTACAGGCACTGCATGCACAGAAGAGTGAAGTATGACCGCTGTTTGACCTCCCTTGGCCCACCGAAGGGGACGAAGTAGTACAGAAGATCAGTGCTCCTGTGCCATATCCCATAATAAGTGATGCCAAGAGCTGCCGAGGGAACTCCATCTTGAATAGCAGAGGGTTCCATTTTGGATTTCTGTTGTGCGTGCAACCTAATTAGTATGCATCGTCATTCCGAGAAGTACCTGTCCCTTCAAAGAAACCCACTGAATATTCATTGCTCTATTGTCTCCACCAAACCCATATAAGCTCTAGCCTTGGTCCCCCTTCAAGTCAATCTTTTGGAGTGGCATGAGCCCCCACTGACTCCTTTTACTTGTCACAAGTAAAATAAACCTGTTAGAGCTGAACCCAAAATTGTCTCCTCTGTGTATTCTTACAAAAGAAAGACAAAGACCCATTGAGTCCAGAGGGCCTCTGTGCCCACAGCAGTAACACTTATGGTCTCTTTCCTGAGAGGACCTCCAGGAGTGCAGAGGGGCTCTGATGAGCTGTGTGTAGTAGACTTGGAAAACCAGATGCTGGAGGAATGGAAGGCATCCCCCACATCACAGGAGTTGCAGTTTGAGGACCTGGCAAGGGACCTTCCAAGGGATCCAAGGAAGTAGGGGCAACCAGAAAGGGCCTGGCAGGACAAGGAACGGTACTCCAGGTAGAGGCTCAGCAAATGCAAAGACACAGAGACAGGAAAGCACAGAGAGGGTTTCAGGACTGCTAGCTACCCGGTAACCATGTGTACTGTTTATTTTCTCCTACCATCTTCTTTTCATTGAGGGAAAGGATAAAGTGTCACCAGTGAGACTGGCCAGGGACAGTATGTATACTTCAGGGCCCCAGGGAGTGGCTGGCAGAGTTCCCTCTAGGCTGGGGGCAGTTGAGGAGGGCATCTTGGAGGAGATGGACTGGGTTCAGAAATCCAAGAACCCAGGACGGGGAGATGAGAGGTGTTAGCAAGGCTTAAAGGCAGAAGCCGGTGTGGTGTGTTTGAAAGGGCAAGGTCTTTGTAGCAGGTGAGGAGGGTGGAGAGGTTGGCAGATAATGGGCAAACTTGAATGCTTGGCTAGAGGGCTAATCTTTGTCTCTGGAGTCCTGGAGTGGATATATAGCATCCTTGGTTCTACTAACCATCCTGCTTTTAGCCTCAAGAGCCTATCAATATTATTCATAATAGCTCCAAAGTGGAAGCAACCCGAATGTCCATTAATTGATGAAAAGATAAATAAAATGTGGTATATCCATCCAATGTGATATTAAGCAGCAGTAAAAAAAATGAAGCATTGATACTTACTACAATATGGATGAACCTTGAAAATACTGTGTCGAGTGGAAGAAACCAGTCACAAAAGACCTCATGTTGTATGACTGTATTTA